AGACAAAACGAACAAAAGAAAAGTTGCGAAATAGAATTTGCTGTATGCATCATGTATTGGGATAAATATTTATGATGAAGTGCCTCTATTTCATGCATAATTATTTGATATCTATTATCGAGCTTCATCTGACTTACATAATGATCTGACGACATCCGTATATGAGAAAAAAGTGATTATATGTTGGAAACAAAATATACTGTTTGCATTTCTACTCACTGGTAAACTCTGTTGGTAACAAATATTTTCCTCAGTGCAAAACGAAATATTTATTCAGCTAGGTAAAATGATGCCTTGTGAGAATTGCATAAACATTAGAGTAGTGAGTACGGATAAGAATGATGTTATGGATTATGTGTAAACTTATCCATGGATTGTATTGTGATGAAACAAGTGCGTGCCTTGGATGAAGCATTGCAATTGTTGAATAGATTGAATAGTAATTTGATATAGGGCGCCAATATTCTTGAATATGTATGAGTGAAAGAAGCTGTCGTCGTTGTGCTTATTTTGAACGCGTCAAAAATGCTATTCCTGACTGTTTCTTGGCCAGCTACATAACAAGATTTTTGTGTCAGAATTTGCTTCAGTGAGGTACAATAGATTGTATGGGCCTGACAAGTTTTAGAATATATATGAAAATAGTTTCGCTAAAAGTTATTTGTTGATGTCTGATGCCCATCACTCCGTTCCATTTATTGAGACTTCAGTCAAACTTGAAACTCAGACAAACGTCAATGGCACCGAAATGAACACGTACACATGGTTTTTTTCAGTGCCGATCTCCGATATGAATACTATCAAATGGATATTGACTTGTGTCGTCAATTATCGTAATCTATTCTATATACTGGTGGCATTTTCAATCGAACAACAAACGGAGATCATCAGTCGATCTTATAAGATTAATGAAACCAATTTTCAAAATTTGTACAACACTCTAAACATCTATCGAAAATTGATTCTGTTCGATACATTAACAGAAGAAATCGAATGACTATAAGCTGAAGTTCTACTTTTATCAACCATAATTAATCGAGTTGAATCGTCAATAGCTCGATACATTTAATCAACTTCGAACAAAAAATGAGCGATAACTACGATCAAATCACGAAAGGCAAAACGTATTCGAAAGAAGCCATAAAAATCACTCGGTCAGATCTGTTCGATAGTATCTTCAAGTATCCCTACATATTATCGAATATTATCTGTCTAATAACAAAACAAGTGTCTCGCTCCTTAATTATGTTGTTACTACAATTCGTCATACGCGTGTCGAGCTAAGCGAAATATGCAAAGATCGCTCATACTTGAGCGATTGATCTTTGACGTTCTTGTTTTATTTTAAATAATAACTCTGTTTGACATGCTATTCTGTCTGTTCTCCTTCACAGAAGTGCGCATGTATCTTAATCTGAAGAATGCAATAAAATGATCATGTTAGTCGCGTTGTAATCTGAAAAAATCGACTTTCAACGGAAAAAATAACCAAGTTAGAAAGCATTGTTCCTAGTGTGCTCTTGTCTCCATTCTCAAAAAGATATTTTTCATGCGATGTAGGCATCTTCCAACGTTTGCTATCTAGACATATAGGGCTGCCTCGTATGAGACTCACTGATTGCCATTGTTGGCTTTCTTTCCGAAGAAAAAAACTAACTTTTTTCCTCTTTGATTGTGGACTTAGACGCGGCATCGTATTTTACCTTCAAAAAATTACATGCATCAACGCTCAGTCGAATCAAACTCTGTTTTTTTTAGTGCAAACAATAGTTCACATTGTTTGAGAAACAATAGGTGAATCCATGGGGTTTTCAGCATATCTCGAAAAAAAGAATGGATCAATCGTGTTTGTAGGAGTTTATCTTTTTCAAGATTTTGAAATTTTAACTAGACGTAACGTTGTTGAAACGTGCAGTAAAAGTGAAAAAAGCGTTTTATTGCTATGTCAAATGTGAATATCTATCGTATATTTTTTGGAAACTCTCGCCTTACACACTAGTATTTCGAATAGCTTCAAGACGAAAATGTAGTAAGTCAGATTGAAAATCAATCGCAATGAAATAACACTGCTTTGATTGCCATCGTTAGTCGAAGCAATGCGATAAATATCGGCAAGAAGAATGATTTCGCTACGAAATCGGCAGCAACATAATTGATTGATCGTGTGGTTTTTGCTTTGATTGGTACTTAAAAACTTAATTTATGGTTCAATTTTCGAAGTAAACGGCTCAAATTAATACTCATTTTAGCTTGTTTCGTAAGAGCTGTCTCACACATCTGTAAGCGAAGGTTTTCCTAAAGAATGAGTTAAATATTGAAATATATAAGATCAAGAAGCGTTTTCTTTTCTTGATCTGAGAGTATTCTCGACCATGGCACATTCAACTAGATGTGAGAGATCGAAAAAGAAGGTCATTGTACTTCCAGAAGACTAGTCGTTTTCCTATAGACTTACTTGACAGATTTTGATGACGACTCTTTTGAAACACATCAGTATCTGTCTCATAGATCTCAACCAACCACTCAATTGAATGGTCAAACTTCAGTTAAGAATCAATCAAGACTATGAAGATCAAGTACTGTTGAAAGATAAGCAGAACAATTTATTGTTTTTATGTAAATTGAACAGTATGATTTAAAAGACAATTCAAAATAATCATGATGCGGATGTTACCGCTCATGCAAGACGTCTTTGATATTTTTGAGTCGAATCTATATATTAGTTATGTTTCGGCCGCGATGTAGAGCATAGGTTTACTTTGGATTTGTTGACTTCAATTGCGACTTTTTATTTGACGCAGTGTTCGTACTAATAGCATAAGGGAAAGAATCTAGCCCTAGTTGTTTAGCGCTATTCTGGCTAGTCTCTTTTGCTGATGAAGGCCTCACCGATAATTTTGGTAGAGCTGCTACAGTATTTTCTTTCGTAGAGTCCTTTTTTTCGCAGAAACGCTTGTCTGTCGTTGAAGATAATGTGGTTTCAAGTAGTTGTTGAGATGAAGGAGCTAATTTCGGTTCCTGTTTTGGCGTTGAGTGCGCAACTAATTCACTCTTCGGTGGTGAAGTAACAACGATGTCTGGAAGGGATTTAGTAGTGGGCGATGAAGTATCATCTGATTGCCACCGCTGTCCTTCATAAGTGATCCACTTGCTCAAACAGCTAATAAAGTCGAAGGCATACAAATGTTCTACCCATTTGTCAGGTAGATTTTTGAAACCATAGAGAGCGCCAGCCAATTGACCATAAATAGCGGCGGTAGTGTCCGTATCATCGCCAAGATTGACGGCATTGAGAGCACCTGTTTCGAAAGAGTCCCCATCGGACCAAAGGGCCCACAAAGCGGCTTCCAGAGCGTTAACAATGTATCCTTTGCCTCGAATACCGTCGTCATAACCCTTGTTTCTCTTGTACGATCCTTCAGCAATCTTCTTAATCTCTCGAGTAAGTGGCTTGTTGTTGAACCATTGTTCATGCTTGGAGTAAAATTTGTTATCCAGTAATTTTTTTTTGGTCTCTCCTCGAAGAGCAGCCACGATCAGAGCACCATAATACCGACAAGCATCATATGCTTTGCGATCACCATGAGTAATAACACCACTAATACCAGAAAACTCAACGGCTTGAACAGGATCTCTATGGAAGAAGAGAGGTACGGGCGCCAATCGCATTAGGGCCCCATTGCCCGCTACTCCCTCGTCACTGCAATACACATCGAATTGGTCCAGTAAATGAGGGTCAGGAAGATGGTCTAAATGCTCGAGAGGAATTTCATGGGTATTGGCAAATCGTCGTTGGCGACGTTCAAATTCGTGCAACGACTGACTGGTGGCTGCGCCGATATCGAAACATTGCCCAGTAGAAGACATGTAACCATATTTGTACCACCATTTGTACCGAACTAGTTGATCGTAGGGAATAAAATCACGATAAATCACCAATGAACTTGCCAGACAAAGAGCCATAGAGGTGTCATCGGTGAACTAAACACATATTTATTAGAAAAGATTCCGTTGTCTATGCTTAATGCTTCTTGGAAGTACACTTTTGGTAAACAGTAAGTCAAACAGTAACTGTAGATCAAAGTAGTGTTTTCTTTATTTCTTACTTCCATTTCCAAAAACTGCTTAAATAAATCCACCTTTCGAAATAGGACAGAAATAAAACGGAATCATAGTCAAAGCTACTTAGACACTCATTAGTATATTTGTAGACCATATGAACTTCAGAATGTTACTTGAGGGTGTGAGTGTGGGTTTGGACATACATACGCGCACCCATTTTTTTGAGTTTTGTTTTATGTATAATTTTTTCGGGTTAAGGTATATTTGTTCTTTTACTAATAGTTTATTGTACTTCTTTTTTCTCGAATATTTTAAATTACCGATTATTCAAGACAGGAGTTCTGATATTTGAAGAAAAAAATCATGAACTAGATTGGTTTTAAACTAGCTGAAAAATTTACTATATGCTTGGCTGAGTCGCAAATAAAATGTATCGTGTTTGTCCTGCTATATGTCCTATCGTGCCGTTCGACAGGATGAAGACCAGCTGCATGACAGGATAGCACAGAACAGAAAAAATCGTCCTGTGTTAATTTCTGATTGACATTACTTTTAGAATCGGCACTAATCGATAGAATAAATTATAAATACCAACTGTTAGAAACATTGAAGACCAACGTTCCGGCCTAATACTAGCAACACTTATACGAGGATCTCTGATTGAACAGATTCCAGTAAAGCTTTTGAAACTTTGTCCGAACAGACTCTGAATTTAGTCGAAGGAAATGAGTGTAGGCGTGAGTGTGCGTAGCTGTGGATGTGGGTGCGGATTTGGGTGTGGTTGTTCATTATTCTTTCCTGCAGACTTCTTCTACGCACCCATTCCTATACCTACCACAATACCGAGGTCCATATCCAAACCCTATAGCCCTGTACACAGTCACAAGGACATCTTCATTCATGTTTCACGTTAGATTCTCACAGAGATCGTAGTCAAATCATATTACCTGTCCTTTTTTCAGACCCCATGTCCCTCCAGCTACAAGGTCTCGCACTGGATGCTCAATAAGATATTGTCGAGGGCGGAATTCGACATGAGCACCAAGTGCATCACCCAAGGCCATACCAACCATAGATCCTTGAACACGATCTAATATAGCATCATCGACATCTACGGGGGGATCATTCATTATAGTTTGTAGATTTTCCGGAGTCATAATCGATTGTTTATCACCAACATGATACTGACAATCCAGCCAAGGTTTCTCTAAAAACAAAGGAATATTTTCGTTCGAAAATGTGGATATTTACTTTAAGAGGTGTACAGAAAATTAAAATTTTCTTCTTTCTCCCTTTATGTTTTCCAAACTTATATGACTTTCGTAATTTTCACTCTTTAATACTTTTAGATCTTTTATTACGTCCACCACCTTAGGGCCACTACTGTTGATGGAAAAATGCTTTTTCTATTAAAAGTTTTTGAAATGAATGATTGTGTTCTGAAGCAAAAGAACAGCGCTTATAACATAAAAAATGAAATATAAATAGGTGAAGAAACCTAAATCAGTGTGAATGTAGGCACGAGATATGTTAGTAGCAGGTAGTTGTGAGAGTGAGTGTGAAAGTCTGGTTTTTCTCTTCAGTCGATTCCACACGCACACAGACACATGAGCAACCTCGCGCAAAGTTACTCTCACACTCACATCGACGCAATGAATTTAATGTAATGACGAGATAAGATAAAAAAAGGCACAAACCGACGTCCAGTTGCTTTGACTGTAGTTTTCAAGGAGATTATATAAAATCAATAATCTACACTGATTATGTGTAAGACAAACTGGGAAAGAGAATGGATTTTTGAGGCGTCGAAAAGTTAATCACGAATTATTTTGTCAGATTGGATTGAAAAGTACCCAAGACGATGTGTGCGTCAAAAACGTTAGCATTCTGTTTCGTTTCGATTTGCAGAATGTGCTCTCAAAAAATATATAATTCAAAACAAAAATGGTCTCACTATCTAGTTTCGCTGGCCGCATTTGCGTAGCTGATCGAATTGTATTTGTAGTAGAGTCTTGACTCATTGAAGGTTTCTTAACTGTCGACGATGAAGTACCAATGGGAAATGGCAGAAGAGCATTTTTAGACGGTTCTTCTTGCATCTGAATCACGTATACCCCGTTTTCTGGTTCGAGTTTGTTCTTCAAAATCAAACGTGTACCAGGCATAAGAAGAACTTCATTTTCGTCTGGACAATCAGAGTAATTGCTGATACTTATGCCATTATTACATTCAATCTCGAATATAGTTCGCTCGGATGATCCACCGAGAAATTTTTTCAGTACGTCTTTGGACGTTGTACAAGAACTAAAACCCAACCAGGTACAGTCTTGCTGGTATTGATCACTGATGTTACCTTGACAACCACGATAGATTTTGCCTTCAAATGGTGTTAATTTGCATAGAGCAGAAAGAAATAGCTTGATATAGGAGGACCAAGGATCTGTTTGTTTTGACACTCCTGAGCGAAGTGCTCGATTCAATTGAATGGAGAGACTTGTATCCGATTTCTTTGACTTGATGGTATACAGATGGATAGCAACTGCTTCGTCTTGGGTAAGATTGGTTAATTGATCGAAATTTTTCTTTGCCATTTGTACCATTTTGTCAAGATTGTTTACCAAACGTTTTAAAGTTTTGGTAGCCTCTTCAATTGGTACTAATGCCTGTTTTTCATAACTTTTTATGGGTATTGATTTTGCTACAAGTTCTTCATTAGCATCAAGAAAGCGATCACTTGTAGTCTTAGTGGCCATACGAACGTTTCGTCTAAACCGAAGTAAAACGACTATACTCTGGTTACCTTTTTCAATTTCAACTAATGTGTGCTGCTTGTGCTTTTATTGTTGCGCCAGTAGAAGAATAAAATAGAAAGAGTAATTATAGACGTTGATGAAAGAAAGAGAAATAAGAACAGTTAACTGCTCGACAGCTGTAAGATATCTTCGTAACTAGGTGACAAAAATTTGTATTTTACTTTCAACCAGGTGTGTCACTTTTCAACTTGTTCTGTTCATAGTTTATTTGTCTTTCGGCTCGAAGAATCATAAAACAGCACTTGAGTTTTTTCTCATTTTTGAATTCAGACAACAAATGCAAGCAGCCTTTGAAAGGATTTATCTCTCCACTTTACCTCCTTCGTGTGGCAATGACTAGTCTATGGTTCTGCAAGTAATGATAGTGGGTCATGAATTGCGTATTAACAACCATAAAACACTCGATAAAACATTGACGACAAAACAACCAAAAAAAAGACAAACAACAACAAAAGAATCGTGCTCGTTTCTTTTTATCTCATATTTGTGCACTATATTCTGTGAGTTATGTCTCATTTACATCGAACTGACTGCAACCAATTATTTAGTTTAATTCTACATGAGGTCGCATTATTAAGCAGTCAGTAAATATATAGTTGAAGATAGAATAGAAGGTACGCGGAATGAATCTCATGATAGGAACAAAACGGACCTCGATTATAACGAGTTTCCTCACTTGAACAAACGATATCATGTCCATTCAGCGCAAAATACAGAGCGAAATAGATAATAGCGAAAGTGTATTTTATCGAATGTCCGTAACAGCGAAAAATAAAATTGCGACAACCAAAGTAACGAAAAGCAACATGGCGAAAGGTTTTTCAGCGAGTTTATTTTCCTTGACAAGCTTCAATTGCTTATGTTTCATGGTGGCTCATTGTCGTCAAGTGATAGCACTTATTCGTTCTGATCTTTCCGAAGAACTGATCTGGTTTTTTTCTGATATATATTTGTCTGCATCCGAAATTGACTCGCGGATACGTACATTGTTTATTTATCTGCATTTCAGGTAACCAAATACGGTTGCCTCAACACCAATCTCTTCTATCAATCCAAATCAAGTAGGATGTGTATGTAGGTGTGGGTATTGAGCGTTTATCTTCTTCTGATTTTCAGATACTCCAACTACTAGAACAACATCCACACTCACCCTCTGGTGACAAAACATGTACAAACCTTTTAGTACTGTCTTTAGTTTGGGTTTTATCGGGCAAGAAGAAAAACAGATACAGTGACAAAACTATCCAATATTCCCTCTGAGATTTAGAGACCGTAATAAAATAGAAGAAGACTGAAGCAATCATTAGGACGCAATATAGCTCGACATTGAAAAAAATTCTGAAACGAAGTGAACAATTGATATAATCCGCATGAGAAGTGCTGAGATGACCGATGACAATGAAAAGCAATAATTAAGGAATGAAAGTTTTCTTGAAGAGTTCAGAAGTGTATGGCTTCACGTTTGTCAAAATTCTCTGCAGCAGATTAAAGATTGAATTCTGCCATTTTGTCTAGCTGATCATCCTAGTGTACCATGCGATATGCGAATGAGGAAATTATTGATAATGTCACTACATTATGGCTAAAACCTTGTATTATCGCGTAAGCATTACTTCAAGAGTGCGAATAATTGCTATAGTGATGTTGTATTGGATATAAGAATAACAGTCAATCCTGCATCTATAAAACGAAGTTTTCGGTGGAAGATCAGCTGAAAGAGGAGTGATTTATGCAGTGGAGTTCCTGTTATTCATAGGTCATTTTGCATATTATTTTCTTCTTCTTGTTAAGACATTACGGTTTGATAGGTGTCAAAAAAAGTAACTAGTTCATTAGAAACGCGCATTCATCGTAAAGTTGTAATCGGATATGGTCAAATGAGATGGTGGGTAGACAGATGACTAATATTGTTACATGAAATTTTGCATGTGAGTCTATATCTTTACGCAGTGCACATCTCAATATACATGCATTCTTGCCGACACAACCAGACTCGCAGCCGCACCCTCAACTAATACTTCAGTCCAACACAGTTATACCTTCACTGACACTCAGATCAGCATTCATCTATACACGGCATGCGTTTTCAAACATATTACTATAGAAAGACCTTACATAAAATGGAAGATAACCTTCAAACTAAGGTGATTTTAATATCGATGTAACTCATGATTCAAATAAACTTATATCAATCAAGCGAGAATGTTGTGCAATCATAGATGATGATACGAACATCTTCCGAATTTAGAGAAATTGTCCGAAGTGTGGCTTGCTTTGTCTTGAACAAAGAAAAAAAAAGCTTTTTTAAAGGGAAAAATATGAAGTTGTGAATTCTTTAACGAGAAGACAAGGTTCTGTGAAAAAATGTGGCGGAAAGGACATGTAGTAAACTAGTGGAACTTGTAATTGATTGTGATGGCACTAAATAGTACAGCCGCGTCTTTCTTCATTCGCTATTATGATGAAAACGATCTTTTTCTGTCATTGTGAGTTTCATGCATATGTCATGTGCTTTTAATTGATTTTTTTCGAAGTGGTCAAGTGTTGTTTTTGCTTTCTTCCGGATAGTCATTCATCAGCAGTGCTGCTAAAATTGACTGAGGCACTTGAAATGGAGCATAAGATATCTCGTCAATCCATCTCAGATGAATTATATAGACCGATACCTACGAATAGAAAAACATCTTCTGAGTGTAGCTGTATGTACAATAGACACGTGCTCTTTTGTGCGTATACCGATTAACATTTAGATTATACCCACACCCCAACGTACCATTAGTATAATTATTAGTCCCAAGCTCATATCAATGAGTGTGATCATCTGTCAGGAAAAAGTTTAAAGAAAAATAGCAGTTGGGTACACATTCAATGTTTTCTTGTGTGCTTTTTTTCGAGAAATATCTTATGATGTTTTTCTGAAAAGAAGTACGTTCTCAGATCCAGATTGATTACTTGACAGAACAAACCTCGACGAGAATATCTGAAGATATATTTTCTTTAATTATGATTGTACTTTTTTTTTTTGTTACAAGCGCTTGTTAGTTTCTAGAAGAATGGGCAAAAACAAAGAGACCATATGATTAATACACAACGGAATTTTACTGCATATGTACTTATATTTTATATATGACCCAAGAAAAAGTGGACTGCGCCAATTAAATCATTTAAAGATGGAAATGTTTTTTTTTGTATAGAGAACCTAAAGAACTCTTTTCAGATTATGCTGAACGAGAACATCGAGGTGAATTTAAAATATCTGTTCTAAAAAGAAACGCATTTTCCCATAGACTGTTCTTTCCTATTAGCTGCTTTTAAAGATTTTTCTAATTCGAAGCTGATGCATTGCTATGATGAGAGAAGCAAAATATTATCCATACTGAAAGTAAATATTATTATGGACATAAATACTAAAAAATCAATAAGTTAGAGGAATTTATTTTTTATAAAATCTATTTTCATAGAAGCAGTCTTCCAAATGTCTTCTGCCTTCATTGTCCAAGGGGCTCTTCTAATGTATCAAAGGCTTTACTCAATATGATTTGAATTGAAGTCAAAGTGAGATTTTGTCATTCGTTTCTATCTATGTCACTTTCTATATTTTACCTTTTCATAGTTTCCATCAAGCACATAAAATGAATCGAGTATACGATTGTTCTGCTCTCCAAACCTTGGTTTTGAGAAAAGCGAAATTGCGTTGTTTGTTTGTGAAAAAATTAGCTTTTTTCTTGGTTTTCTTTTGATACAGAAGAACACGTATTCCTTATTCCTCTCTAAATTCGATCATTAGATGAAGGTCACTCTTGGCCATACGAGAATAAAAAAAACACTGATCATCTGAGAATAATAGATTGAAAAAGAAGGAGATTCCTTGCAACAATTTATTAATTTTTGATTTTGAATATTTTCAATTGTCTGATATTTGAAACTAAGTTCTTTTGTCATGAATGGAATGTCCTTGAAATATAACTATAATACTTGTTGCTGATATGAAAGTACCTGCGAAAAGTACATATTTATTTGCTTTGTATTTAGAAATGAATAAAAACAATTTAAGTAACTACATTTAAGTCTGTTCTTCGCATAGTAAGGCATGATTTTTCAATTTAGTCCTTTGCATGATAAATATTCGGATAGAATTGCAAGAAAAAGAACGAAAGAAATAAAGAAAACCTTTTGTGATCCTTCCAAATAAATAGAGAGCAAATCAGTCAATAGGCATTCTAAATCTTTGTGCACAATCAATTTTTAAATTGTCTTTCGATCCCTGAGTAAGTAACTTTCTCCAAACGATTCATCGTCACCAATCTATTGACATGAAGCGCGACTAAAATCGTTGAAATATGAATGTAATTACTGTATTGAATAGCTGGTTTATTTTTTTCGTAGGAATAACTTCATGCTAATATGGAATATTCAGCAGTGTTGACCTTTCGCGAAAGACTTGACAAAAGGTTATGATCCAGAGTTTCAAAGGACAGATTACTAATTGTGAGCATATTCACCATGAAAAGAAAAAGCTCCAAAGAATGAAAGATTTAGACGTTTTTCAATGTACTAACATTATATTAATGTAAAGTCGTATTCAAATAACCAAGGACATGATTTGTTTTCATATATATATATATATATATATATATCATTGTAAAGTTCTTTTTACATATTTTGCCTTGAAAAATGGTAGATATTTCGAATTCGTAGTTTGATCGATTCTCTTGAACCTTCTATACATACGTCAAAACTGCGAAAATTTACATAAAAAATGACATAACTCTCTGCCTGCTAGAATTATCTATCTAAAAGAGTGCCGTATAGTGTTATAGTGAGCGATAATAAGTATTTGACATTTCATTGGTGACATTTAGCACAGCTTTAGACAGATAATTGAACAAAAAATTTCTCAATTGATGCCTATAGACTAGGAAGAAAATTCTGTTGGGTCA